GGGGGTTATAGCAGCTTCCCGCCCGCTGCCCCTCGCCCCAAGGCCTTACTGAGGGCGCTGCGGTGTTGGGATACGGACGTGCCGCCCTAGGGCCGCATATATCTCCTTAACGGCGTGGGGGGAGCAGGGCAACGATTAATTTCGTAGTCGAGGTAGCAGGTGATTCCCAGTTAATGCTGCATTAGAGCCACGTTGTTGATACACAGGGCTTTGGTGGTTTGACAGTCCGCCAAGTGCGCCGTTGTGAGGCCTCAGTGTGGGTTATATAACGTTTACATAGAGGAAGGCAAGCTTTTGGACCTATCAAAAGCAGTATTTCTCAAAAACAAAAGAGTTGGCAGTTTAGACCGGAATCCTATCTTTTCATAAAACTTACTGTTACTTTTCAGTGGATAGCTGGATGCCCACTGTGTATCTTTGAATTTTTTTTTTTTTTTTGGTGAGGAAAGGAAGCAAATAGCTGTGTATTAGACCTTGAGTTTTGAAATCACCTGTTTTGCTCAAAAAAACTGAACATGTTTTAAAATTCTTTCCTGGATCAATGCTTTTTTTTTTTTTCCTCCAATTAGAGAAGCACATATTCCGTGGTGATGGCTAGTTAAAGCCTTTGGATTAAATCTGTCAACAAGGGACCATACTGTGTTACAGGACGTCACCTCCAGCAATGTAAATTACGTTCTACAGTGGAGTAAGGCATTTGTATTGCATTGGGGAGCTCCGTGGCTTGGTACTCACCTGCCTTAGATGTCGGCTCTGTGGAAATAAACTGAAAAAAAAAATCCATAGATGAATACTTATCCTATTATACATTCATTTTGTAATTGCATGTAACTGCAGCAGTATCAAATTGCTTTTGTGTATATTTCATATACTGCTATTTCAGTTGTGCTTTACTCTTTTCTGAAATGGTGAAAATGGTCTATGAGGAGTTGCTGACAGCTGCCGTCTTGCCATAATGAGATTAGTAACCAAATCAATGAAAAAATAGATGCGCATTTTCCACTGTAACAAAAAAAGTGTGTCAAGAAGAACACTGGTTGAGGAATACTTCAAATTGCCTTGATACAAATGGTTCTGCTAGATAAACAGTGCGATTTTCCTGTAGAACAAAAACATTTCTTCCCATTTGTGCAATAAAAAATGACTATAATGAGTTAGATGCCTGTGGCGCAGTTGGCATGATTTTGTAAGACCCCTTTAAGTCCTGAGAGAAACAGAATAGACAGCGTTCCATAGAGTGGCTGGAACTGCGGTTTCATTGAAATCAATAGCAGAGCTCTCATTGATTTCAGCAGAGCCAGTATATCAGCTAGTATGCTTAAGACTTAGAATGAGTATCTCGCAGCGTAGGCATAAACAAGATAAACAACCACAACAGCTCTTGTGGTTCTCTTTGAATTCTGAGAAAATCGATAGGCAAAACTATTGCTTGATGTTTTCTTTAAGCTATCTGAACACTCTGATAGACATTTGCATTAATGTTTGATATTTTTGTGAGTATCTGAATAACTTGATTAGCAGGGTATACATTGTAAGTGATTGAGAAATACCGTGTTTTAATAATAAATGAGTTTGCATGCAAATAGACTGTAGTTCAAACTTGAGCATTTGATATCTATATCATAGTCTCACAGTCTCATAAATTTTTCCTTTTAGTGCTTTTTGTATCTATTTCCTGCTTCCTTTCGTTCTTCCCTTTCCTTCTTTCTGTCAAAATAAAAATACTACTATGGTGCTGTTTTCTTGTATTTTATACAGGGCATAACTTCAATTTTCACTTTCTCCTTACAATGGGGAAGAACTGTTATTAAAACTAACAAAGTTTGTTTGAAAATAAAATAGTCAGAAAGCTTTGGAGTGGAAAAAGTAAATCTGAAGCTTTGTTTGCGCATGTTCCATTAAGTGTATGTGTTTACAGGATGAAAAATTACTAGTGTTACAAAATAGGCACGAAGGAGACAGCATATGCCTCTCATCAGAGGAAAAAATATATTTGTTATTCTGGCATAGTTCTATTATGTATTTTTTTTCCTGAAAAGACTGAATCTACTGGCTGTGATTAAAAAAGCTAAAAGCACTTACGTCTCACAATTTTCTCTAAGACATTCTTTCTGCACTGTAAAGGAATCAAATGGTTATGTTGAGTTTAAGGTTAGGTGGGACAGGGGGGGTGAATGTGATAATAGTGTACTGTTGTCAGGTAACTTTCTTTTTTTAATTTCTTATATCTTTTTTTCTTTCTTGGTCTTACACTTACCATTTTTTTATGTTAGACTAAGGTATACCTTTCCCTAGCCTGCCTTCAGTGTATATTCTTTTCTCTCCTGCAGCTTCCATGATTTTTCCTTCACTGTGTTCTCTGTCTTCTCACTTAATCTCTATTTATGGATATAATAGCTGTAATAGAATGTTCTGGCTTCAGAATAAACACAAAAGAATAAATAGCCTGTGCTTAAAAAGAATAATAAACACTTTTTAAGTTGTCATTTCTTTCTTTTCATTCCCAGTAGTCTTAACCTGTGTCAAAATCATGAGTCTCTCTCCTGCTTACACTTCCTTACTCATACATTTACTTACTATATCCACTTTCTGTCCTAGAATACTTGGCAGACATTTAATAGTCAGAAATAATGAAAAATATGTGCCGTTAAGGGGCAACAATCAGGTGAGAAGCCAGTAGCTGGAAACCTTGTTGTTTCATCATACTTCATTTAATGACAGCACAAATGAGGTTTTGAATTTCTGAAGAATATGAAAATGAATCTAACACTGGAATTTAATTCTCAGTTATATTCCCAGATTAGAAACTGCTCCTAGAGAGAATCCTGCCTTGAACATGGTATGTATATCTCTTTTTCTTACCCCTTTTCATTCTTTTTCCTCTTGATACTGAAAATGTAGACTCGATGCTGAAATCCTGATGCCTCATTTTTAACACAGGTCTTTGCTTAGTAAGCATTTAATAAAATAGAATCCCTCTGGATATGAGAGAGAAAAACATATCTTCATTCTGCTCCTCATTCTTACTCCAGAGCTCCTTGTTTGCCAAGTTTCATGGGTCTCTACTATTTTATCTAATCTGTAGCTGCCCTTTTCGAATCTTTTTCTCTAGGGCCTACTTCCCACATTTTCCTTTGCAGAAGTTAAAGATTAGCTTGCTTGTGTGTTATGCAAAAGTTGCATAATATCGATCTATCTTTCACTCTCTTGAAGTTTTCAACAGCAGCAGAAATACTGTAACTTTTTGGTTGGTTTTTAGATTTTGATAGCTCTGCTCCCTTTCTTGCTTGTTACAAGTTTGGAGAGTTGATTTTGATACTGGATTTGAAGATTGGATGCACAGATTGTTCAGAACAATCAAAGCTTTGATTTTGGAGACTTCGACAGTACCCAGCTACATTATCTGACTGCGTGTCATGGATGACTGTAAAACTTCTAGCTATGAATATAAACAAGTCTTATTAAAGGTCATATTCTTTTTCCGTTGTGAAAATAATCCCTGGACTTACTGAATGGTTCAGTAAACTGTTACATATATTAGAGCTTTGTTCCAGCCTTTCAGCAATGAAAGTGTTCCGTATGCATATACAAATTATATCAGATTCTAAATTAAACTTCAAATCTAGAAAATCAGAGTTTCTCTGTAGAAACAGTGGGTTTGCCTTTTTTTCCCGTTTGTGTTGTGAAAATCATAACAACAGGATAAGCTAGAAAAAGGTAAGAATTATAGCCATTGGAAATATACTGTACTCGCCTCAAAATGTTCCATCTACTTTTTTCATGTCTAGACAATATATATATATTCATGGGAGTAGAAATTCCTTTTACTTATACATAAGAATATAGCTAATAATTATATAATGCCAAAACATTGTATACCTTGCTAATACAGGAATTCCCAGCAAGCATATTGAACTATATGTGCTGTTGTATATATTGGATTTGAATGAAGATTGCCCATTGATAGGCAACAAACGCAGAAAATGTGTTGCATGTAGGTTATGCTAGCATATATTTGGCTCTACTTTCTCTTTCTTTCATTCCTTATGAAGTGTTAAGACCTTTTCTGGAGAGGTATAGCCAGTTAGCAAACTTAACTCTTTCTGATACTTTCTTATTAGAAGTGAAGTTATATAAAATTTTAAAGGAAAAAAAATAAAAAAACCCTATTTTTTCCCTCTGCCGATACAAAGAAGGATAAGGAAAGCATTTCCATATTGTTTCCAAGATTCTGCCTGGAGTAGTTATACATCTGTGGATGTATTTGATGTGGAGTCT